TGTTGCCTTGCCACTGAGCCACGGCGACATTCAAATACGACGACATACTTTTAAAACTTTTAGAAGAGTTTTAGTATCCACGTGCTAAAAATTGCTTCCCCTCATTTGCTGTTCTCGGACCACCGCGAATGAGGAAGGAGTCATCGAAAGTTTTTGTATTTATAATATACGAAAGAAAAGATCACTTTTAAAAGAGAGGTCATTCTGAAATGTCATCTCAGTATATAATTTAATACGAATATTTGAATGAAGTCTTGGTTTTTTATGATTCAAAGAAATTCATGTTTCAAACTTCTTCATTCAACAGTTTTTGGCAATGTGAGATAAATTATATGGGGTTATTATGGGGTTATTATTCCAATCATTTTCCATCTGATTACTGTGTAGGTACTTTTAAATAATTTCATACAACTGTCGGTACTTGCCTGTAGAATGTAAAGAATTCATTGGAAATGTGTGTGCAATATATTATGTACAATTATTTTACACACAAACATACTTTTACTTGGAATCTTATTTGACCACACAAATCAGACTACACCTTTTTGTTGCAAAATTGAAAATACTGTAACAAGAACTAAAGATAGCAGAATCTTTAGCTTAATGTCCTCGATACACGCCTTCACCGTGGCCCGTGCTATTTAGAATGGCCTGGTTGCGCTAGTGGACCACCCTGAACGCGGAAACGATCTAAATGACGGATTTAGCATTATTCAAACAATTTAAATTGTCATCGAAACCGGCTTATTACAATTACAAATTATCTAAATTTCATTTAATTATACGCAATGAACGTAGTGAATTTCAGTTGAGCTTAATTGTTATCCAATACGGAAATTATTTGTGTGATTTGTAATGTTACAATAGGCGTTTTGTTAACAGACGACTAGGTAAGTACTAAAGTTTAAGTGACTTTAATTTTTGCAACCAAGATAGAAGAAAAGGATCAACTTCATTAAACATGTCATGCCATGGCAAATATCACCATTCTCTTCTGTACAGTAAAGGAATGACTTCCCTTTATCGATCACGTGGGATAAAGAAGAAATAACAGAAATAACAGTGCATTTATCATATTATAATGCTGTTAGAAGAACGGGCAAACAAACGCCAAATCAAATATGAGCAAGTATATTTCCCTTATGATCGCGCGAGCTTCTAATAATAATTGATGGCTTGTTCCTCGGAGAAGTTACAAGATGGAGCTTATCGAAGAATCTCCGGCTTGATTGCCCAGTGGATATCGTATAACTATTGTTTGTTGGCCATCGTTATCTTACCTTCACATAAAAACAGACTGTAAAGTTTTGAAAAGGCTGTCGCGTCGTTGGATACATTTTGGAAATGGTCACTGCTGATCATTTGCCTTTGCTTTGTACTGATTGTCATAGAGCTATGAATTATTTTTTTAGCAATTTTTCCAGTGCACTTTTCTTACTACACGCCCTTTGTTTTACATCACCTAAGTTTTCGTTTGTGGACTTTAAATGTAGCAAGGGTTTCCCGTGAACTAAGTTTGAAGAATTTCACTGAATTTTGGTGAAAAAGCATTACGGAAATGTTTTTAAAGGATAACCGTTATCGCATTAGGTACAGACTCTACCTTCATTAGAGTGAGTGAGCTAAATAAATTAGCTTGACGTTTTCTACACTAAAGTAATATTTCTTTTTCTTTACGAGTCTGTTTAAGTTATTCGTCGCGCCCATTAAACTTTCCTGTTGATATTTTCGCCGGCGTTTGCGGAGGGTTTTATTGGAAACGGTGGAATTGTGTATTATCAAGTCCGCACAATAAGCCATAGCTCTCAACGACTAACACCACGAAGGCGGAACCAACGAATGGGTTATTACCGCTCGACCACTACTTTTGGGTTGGTGGTAGGCGAAACTCTATGGCCCAGAACAGACGGTGAAACGCAACTGCAACGAAACTGCAACTTTCTGATGATTCTGATGAATGAAACTGAAACTGAAAGTTTCAAACTGGTCGCGGTCTGTGAACATGTGTGGTCTCTCAACGGACGCTATGGCAGAAACTTAGATGCAACTCAAAAGTAAAGTCTACCAGTTGCAGTTTCGTTGCAGTTGCGTTTCACCGTCTGTTCTGGGGCTATGTCCCCATGTTGTGAGTTTCACACATTTCTATGGTTCAAAAATACTACGAACGAACTTTGCAGAAAGCATTTTATGAAAAGAAAAACTAACATGTTGCATGAACTGGGAACACAGATGGGAGGAATTCGACACCTTAATACCTAATGATCTCGTAGAAACATAGGTGTACAATATCGATTATCATGCTCATGAACTGATTGATGATCTGCACCTCCTAATTTAGGTAGCTAATTGATAGACAGACACTGGTGTACGCTTGCGTACTTTGAAATCTAATCTGGGCATTTACACACGTCTTTCAGCGGCTAATTTTTTGAACTAGTGTTTGAATGACTCGGCGAAACTTACTACTTTTCATTTGTTTCTAACTGAAATTTTATTTAATTTCAGTTAGTAACAAATGAAATCTGAAATAAGTCTTCATTGAATAAAATTGTTATAATTTATAATAATTTGATACCTACTATGAATAGAATTGTGGAATATGGTTTTTGTGCCAAAATTCTCTAATTATCTAATTTTCGCCACCACCTCGAAATCGAAGGAGCTGAACGGTTCGTTTGAATTTTGATAAATTAAACAAAACATTCCCAGAATTTGTTAACATTCTAAACTTTAGTAGAAGATTAAGTGCCTAATTTTAGAATTGGAAATAATTTTCCTAAACCTTATTTTAATGACATACCTACTCGTACTTGTAGACGAATTACACGAAAAGTCTTTTCGTCAATTTGGATTCATGGAAAAGTATATTAAAATGTACTGATACTCGAAATAATAAGAAACAATGGAATGGAATGGAGCCCCCGGGAAAAGTAGCTATACTTATTTAATTTAAAGGTGATATATTTATTAGAATTAACTCAATATTTTCAGATTCGCCTTTTTTTATTTGAAACCAGAAAAATGTTGAGTCTTAGAACTGTACTTATTGAGAATCTTTATTTGACTTGACACATTTAATTTCACACTATAGCATCTTATAGGTAGGCGCCTACTAAGTGTGAATTTTCTATAGAAAGATCTATCTGGTATGTTCTACTCAGTACAGACAGGTAGGTACAAAATGTATTTTTAAAACTCACCTTTAAATAGTTATTTTTAAAAACGACACTTAATATTGTTCTGACCTACAAAACTGTTCAAATTGCTAGAGAATTGCGTACGTCTGGCAAATCACGTATGCATCTTCGTTATCATTGTATTTTAATATATTTGCGCGCGCGCCGGTAGGGCAACCACACGTTTTAGTTCACATGGAAATGCGGAATAGCTTGATCTTGATTATTATAAAGATCCCGTAACATATCAGCTTAGAAAGATGAAATCAGAAGAAATGGCGTTAAAATATATTGTGGGATAATGAGTAATGACCACACGGCTAGGGTTTATTTTCTATAATCTAATTATAAACACATTTATAATCAAGGTAGACATCAAGCTTAGCAAGCTAAGAAAAATTCGAGCTAAAGGGAAGTGTATTGTGGTACCTATTCCTTGAACTGAGGTTTACGACCAGCAATGGCTGAAATGATGATGATGATGAAATCTTAGTCACAAATACGCTTTATTTACCCCCTTACTAATAAAACTTACACGCTCGTTGAATAGTGTTTTAAAGTGACGTTTAGTATGGAAATGTCATTTTAAAACAGTGTTCAACAACTGTGTAACTTTTTATTAACAAGGGGGTTATTTTTCAGTGTGTATTACGTTTGAATGGTCGAAGTGTAATTTATCCTATTTTCTGCTTTACAGATGCGGGCCCTAGAAGCTTGTAGCGACACTTGTAGCGTGTCATTGAAGACGTCCGCGGACGGCTTGTGAATGCAGGATGAGACACCAAATTATTATCCTGAACGGTCGTTGAAAAATTGAGTTATTGAGTCATTAGTTATGTATTTTTTCAACCTTTATACGTTTTTTAACCTGGAAACGTTACCTACAGATTTATTTATTTACTACAGCGTTATGTTTCTGAAATGTTTTATTTCAAGAGATTTATTTCAATTTTGTCCATTCATCTTAATGCTACGCCGAAAATGTAGAGCTGAATCAGACGCAAGCGCAGCCAAAATAAAACAGTTAAGTTTTTAGTTACTTAACTTGTTCCAACTCTGACTCATATAGTAAATATAAATATTTTCTTAATAAATTAAATTATCAAATGTTACCGGTGGTCAATGAGGCGGCTCTTATCGTGATTCGGTCAAGGTTACGTTGGTTACGTTCATTGACTCAAGGATCTCCAAATTAACCGGAGTATTCGACAGATTGAATGGAATCGCGTAGAGAGGAGATGTGTTAACCCCATTCTCATGACTTCCGAATTAATTGGGCCAAAGTCACGACATGGAGAGCTTTGTTCGACGAATTTCGTGCCATCTATTTTGGGGGCAATTTTTAAGTAAACCATTTTTATTTTGACCATTTGTCTACATACAACTTAATGTCGAGAATCGAACCCTGATCTTTAAATTCTCGGTATAGGACAACAACGACCTATAGTCAAACAAAAGCTGGTTCATCTTCCTATTTATCTAACGTGCACTGCCGGACACGCAGTCAATAGCCGGTTGCACCGAGCTACTGGACTGTGAACAATCCTGCCTACTTAGTAAAATACTAATATTTGCTCTCTTTGTTTGTTTCCCAAAACACCGGCAAACAGATCGAGCGCAATCTCCCATCTCGCATCTCATGAAACAACATTATCTCACAGTCAATATATGTATGCTCACTAGTATGTATGTGTTCCTAATAAAATGAGAGCAACTTTTTCGATAAACCGAACCCGCAAGGTGCGCCCGAGTCGAAAGCCGAGGTGCACTGCATTCTTCCAAGAGGGACGGGAGGGAACGGGCTGCATTCTTAGTTATTCTTACCGATTAATCGAGAGCTCTTCCGAAAATCCACACGGAATCCTCTAGCGGAGCACCCTTTAGCACATACTTCAAACACCACAGTATCAAACGAACTTATTAAAACACAAATATCAGTTATTTTGTTTACATCATGGTCAGAAAAGTTCACATGGCTCACACTACCGACGGGCCGGCCTTTAACAAGCAAACTGGATCCATTTGGCTTGTCTGTCTTGACGCGGAATGCTATGCTCCGTCTCTGTCCCGCTCGAAATAACAATCGGTGCGTCCCGGTCACTCGTTCGGAGAAAGGCGCCAATGGACGGCGCGGGCGCCGACTTCTTCCTTCGGGACTTAAAAAAAACAAAAGAGCTTTGGAAACAAGTTACTGTAATGGGGCTTTAGGTGCCTGTCAAGATATTGTATGATTTAACATTTATTTGAGATGAACCTGTGATGGGCTCGGAGCGAGGCTCTGGGAATTTTAAACTGGTTTTATGAGATGTTTTTGCCACGGACAATTATACAAAGTTGAAAGCTGCGACGTTGCCATATTACACACTGAATTTGTTCGTTTTTATGCCCATGAGATAAAAAACAACGCGTGCTGTTGAAGATTTCGTTACCTACTCGTTTGCTCAAAATTATTCCTTCAGGGCATCATTTTATTACTCATCTCTTAAATCCAAAAACAAACAGTCACTTAGCCTCGTTTCATTAAAGTTCATAAATGCAATACTTATCTACAATCCCGGTTTATCCGGTTCGAAGGACCAACGAATTTTCTTAACTTCTTACGATAGTCCCTACTTTTGCATAAGAAACCCGAGCAGTACAAAAAACAAATATCGGCAAGTGAGAGGTATGGGAGGGGGCAGCATTCTGGTCCAGGCGCATTCCTAGATAAATGGCGCTCTCTAACATCTACGTGCACAAATCTATTGCAAATGGAACTTACAAGATTCACTTTGCAACAGAGAGGACGTGATATTTATCGTGTATCATTATGATGCACTTTAGCATTAAAGTAGGTGCACATAATCGCACTTTTCTTGGTGAACCTAATCGATTTTTAATGAGAAAGTATACTCGGGTATACTCGTATTTTAAGTAGGTACCTACATACTTACTATAATGCATATTCTTATCATTATTACTTGTTGTTCCCCGGTGAGTCTTATCTTAGCAAATATGATGATTCTATTGAACCTTTCAACTCTTTACATTTACTTTTCTTAGCGGACCCTAAAACAAGCCTAACACAAAACTATGTTTATCGTTAGACTAATAGTGATTTCAGATAGATAAACCGACATTGGTAATTTGCTTTCTTTTAAACGAAAACACTTACCTGCTTGCCTATTACGATCTATAGTTAATACAGACGGACCACTTACCTACTTACTCGTCTCCTTTGTTATGAGTTTCCTTCTATTGAATCATTAAGGAGCTTTAAGCACCATCTGCCTTTAAATAGATAGGTACTAAATTACCGTATCCTAGCCTCGGCTAGCTAATGTGTGGTGAAAAACGAAATAAAAAATACCTAACAACTTACTTGCTTTTTTGATATCTCCGTGCGCGTAACAGCTACTTTAAACACATTTCTTACATAATGTACATTACATGTCAGCGAACAAAAGACCTTTGGTAAATATCCTATTGACTGACGTGTTTTAAACAGATCTACAAATTAAATACATACCTTACTTCCTTTGTTATTTTCACCTGTGTTTAAGTTTTCGTATTTCTTTCAAAATCATCTTACCTAGGTGTCCGTACATCTTTTCTTTCAGCAACAGTAAGATAAAAAAATAACAATCAGTCTTGAACAATTTGCAGAAGGAACAAGACACGTTCCCAACTCCAGCACCTACCTACCACCTTAATCTGTTCGCCAAATACTTCCCCCAGTACTTAGTCCTCCCCCGGGATCTCGAGTCCCTGATGAAATACGAAAGAGGTACCTATATTACGTAACTGGCAAGTATTAGCAGATTTACTCTACAATTTCTGGGTGAGTGGGTCCGGGGTAAATGCGTTTCTAGTAGCTAGTAATCCGTCACATTTCAAGCACGAAAAGGATTAAATAACCCTTTTATCGTTTGAACAAAATTTCCCCGAAGAAATAGACTAGAAAGCCTTATTATAGCTTCAATAACTTATTATAACCTATAAGTTATTTTAAATAACTTATGACACGCATTCGAACCCGTGATCGGTGGCACAAAATTCCGAAATTTACTTTTACTCCAATAGGTAAACTTCGGCAAATATAAAATAAGAAACGATAACCATTTATTGCAAAGTGATTGAACTGCCGAAGCAATCTTAACTTTAATTGACTTTGCAAAGATTGGTTTTATTCACATCCCTGGAGAATCTCCAGTGGAGATACAGACAATTCGGTGTCAATATTAGTCGAAGCGGTCTTGTTTGCAATATTGCCAATTTATATCGATCCTACAGATTATAGTTTAACTTAATCTTCTAAAAGAAAAAAATATGCGAATCAGCTTAAATATACTTTTGGCTAGACTTCGTGCCGCGTCGTTTCATTGTGATTTAATAGTGCAAAATAATCGTTAAACCGAATTATCTCGAATCTACCACATCACAAATAACCTGTTCAAAGTAAGTTATTAACCGACCGAGACCAATTAGCACGCACTGTTGTTTGGCGAATCTCATGAAGGATCGCGCACTAACTTATTGGCACAGCAAACACGTGTGAAAGCTGGCAACATTGTGTTTATACGATCGATCATAGGAATCGAGCTACACGAGGCGCAACTTACCGGTATTGTATACTTTACTAATATCTAAAGTGGAAAAGTTGAATAGATCGTATAGTTCCGTACGAACTCTGTCTCCATGAGCACACGTGTTGCCTTGACCGATATCTGGCAAATGTATCCCTAAAGTTGGTAAATTTATTAATTTGGAAATCGGATGAAAGATATAGCCAAGGATAGGTCTCGATAGTGGGAACACAATTCCTACTTTCACTAATAGCAATAGCAACCTGAAATCTTCCCGAAAAGGCTGGTTGCAAAAAGTAACTTCGAACGTGTATAGGCAACGGTAAGTATAGGTACGAATAACTTCTACCTAACCTTCAATGTAAAGAAGTTAAATCATCATTCATAAAGTATCAAAAATGTTGCCGCGATTTCTTCATAAAGTTTAGTAAAAAGAGTATGAATCAGTAACATCGAAGCTGACGTGGGCTGATGGGATGGACACTTAGCAAAAGGTCTTAAGGAGCCACATTAAATATGGAACATCCAGCTCCAGCGGAAGTGATAAAAACGCGCGCTGGTCTGAATGAGATGCCTGCCAGGCCGCGCCGCGAATCCTAATGAACACAGCCTGTTTCATTGCCAATTACCCATCAAGCGATTTAATTAAATAAATGGTCCTAAAATACACCCTTGCGGCACTCCGCTGTCGAATAGACGCCAGAGATTATGTTATTAATTAGCGATTATCAGATTCAGTATCGTTTTATGTATTCAACAGAAACAAAGCTGCTTATCTCGCTAATGGTGTTAGCAAATGAGGCGTCAAAACGCCAAAATAAATACGTACTCGTAAGCTGTCTAAAATGTTTATTTATATTCATTAAAGACGCTTAAACATTTTCAGAGATAAAAGCGTAATATACTTAGAAAGGATTAATTTAATTAAGGTGTTGGAGCAACCTTGTGAAACTGTTAATTAAATTGGATCTAAATCCAAAATCCTATTTTCCAGATTGGCCTAGCAACAGACATATAAATCTAAGGTAAAGTTAGTTTTTAAATTGTTACCAATTAAAGAACATTTATTCCAAACTTGAATTAGATCATAAAGAATATGATTCCGTGCTTCTGAGTGAGTTAGATTAAGCTAAATCAGATACCTGTGACGATTAACATTGGTCTAACACTACACCATGGCTGAGCTAGATAGAATCTACACGATAAAAGAGGACGAAGGCAATCGCGACGAGGGCAACTTAATTTATACATAGGTAAGTACAAGCTACAAGTTGTCAACTAAGTTTAAAAATAAACAAATAAAACGGTTGTAATGGCCAACTATGTCAGTTAAAAGAACTGCGCCCAACAATCCAGGTGCAGCAAAACATTTCGTTTAATGGCCCTCTGTGTAATTCCGACGGTCGCAAACGGCATTCCTGACCACTCCGCGAAGAATACGTGTGTGTGTATCATATTCTATACCTATTTTTTATTTCAACTACTCAAATACATACACGATGACGACTACTTAATGTATTTAAGATTCGTTCGTTCGTTCGTTTCAGCCGAAAGACGTCCACTGCTGGACAAAGGCCTCCCCCAAGAATTTCCACAAAGACCGGTCCTGCGCCGCTTGCATCCAGGTACCTCCCGCGACCTTCACCAGATCGTCGGTTCACCTAGTGGGAGGCCTGCCCACGCTAATCTACTAATCTCCCACGAGTTAGCTCATGGTAGTCCTAAACACACTCGTATCAAGGCTCAACAAAAACGTTCCCAAACATAAACGTAAAGTCAATCAGGGTTCGGCGTTCGTTCGGAATATAGCGGATTAGTGCGCGCTAAGCGCTAAAGCTCAACGCCGTATCACGTATGTAGCCGACCAATTTTGTCGCGGATGTCCCGATTCGGTGTGCGGTGCGCATAGCTTATGATTCTGGGAAAATGAGTCAATCGATTAACCGAGTGTTTGGATTAATAAATTGGATTGGATACTTATTGATGGGCGAGGATGTGTTTGGTCAACACAAACGCCTAATAAGTGTCAGTAGCTATGAGATTTTGTGTTTTGTGTAAGCTTTGTATCTCAAAGGTGTAAAAGTTTCTGTTCAACCGACTTATCAATAGGTCTGTAGACGTTGTTCACTTGATATTAGTGTAAGTGTTGTTTGTCTGAAGGGTACTGGTAAGGCAAAGAACAGAATGTACCTACACACGACAATTCGTTTACTACACAAAACAACTGTTCAATTAATATTGAAACCAAATATGATTGATATTTTGCAAAAAAATCTTTTTCAAGATCCCCTGAAATATAATTAATTGCAGATTGTCCGTTTTCCCCTTTTGAATATGAAAACAATTTCGCAACTAACTAAATCTCGTTTAACAACTTGTAATAAGATAATATTATTATGTTGCCAACGAACATTAATATTAATGCAATCATATCCAGGGATAAACCATTGTAGGATACAACAACAAACATAATTTTATAGTCTTATAAAGAAACTGGAACAAGTTTATTAAGAGCGATCCCTGCTGCTTATTTACTGATATTGTTTTTGAAATAAAACGACCATGTATTATTCATTGTATAATTTATTTTCTTTTGCGACTGGGTATTGAACAAATCTCACTTACGGAGTTAAATTTATTAATGAGTATGTCGCTACAGACAACGAGCGCACCTTCATTGTTGGTTATTTGAAGATTATTAATGTCTTATAGCACTTACGACTTACTGTATTTTATTTTGACACTATTATTATCTGTGTGATATCTTAGACTGCTTGTACATTTTTCAGGCGAATGTCTGTAGCCACAACGGTTAATACTCTCACAACTTATAGCCATTTACATATCACATAGTCAACTACAATAAATATAACATTCTCGCGTCCTGGGGCCACTGCATAAACATAGAGAAACCGCCTTATAAAAACATAGCAAAAGGAAACAACAACAAATATTAAATTTCAGATGGAATCAAGAGAGGCGGCTGTACCGACTGAGATTGAGTTTCATAGACGTGTTCGCTTTTCGCGCTCCTCCCCGATATAGACAATTTGTGCTAAAATTCAACTAATTAGATTCAGTACCATAAATAGTATAAGAAATATTTACAAATCAACCTTTACAACACTCGTCAATACATCCTAAGAAATCTAGTGAGTCCTAGCGACCATACATTTGTGATTTCGGAAATACAGAGCATAGGGAGATGTAATAATAAAAAGTACAAAAAGTATTTCAAATACTTTAATCAACGTCAGTTCTCGCTCTATTCCTAACCCTGTAACCACACAGCGTGCCCCTAATCCTAAGGTGCCAACGAAACCACGTAAGTAGCGGCAGCACGAAATGCGAACAAGTCACGGCGACTTCGAAAGTAAAAAATAAATTAGACTAATATAAATTACTCCACTCGTAAATATTATAATTCGGAATGTTCGTCCTGGCCGTCGCCGATCTGAAACGGAGGCTCCGTGGTCGTGCTCGTGTTGTCGGCCGGTGCCTCTTTAGCCTCAGTCTCCGCTTGTGTCTCCGCCTGAATCTCCTCCTGGGTCTCGGCCTTCTCAGGCTCAATCACTGTCTCCTCAGTTTTGTTGTCCGATTCCTTCTTCACCGGCTTCTTAGGTCGCCAAATCTTCATCTTATTCAATAGATACTTCACCTCCCTGTCCAAATTGGCCATCTTCTCTCTTATACTCTCCACCGTCAGCTTTATATCCTCATTTTTCTTCATCGCGTCCTGCTCTGCGACGGCCTTGGTGATCCACGTCTCAGTTTCCGTGATCTTCTTCTCGAGGACATCGATTTCCACTTCTGTGAATATGTCCCTTTCAGAGTTAGCCTCTTTAGTGAAATTCTTGGCCATTTTCAGGAACTCCTGGGAGCTGTTGATCATGTTGCGGATGGCTGCAACCGCGTCGGGTCTCTCGCGGTGTTCCCAGTTCTTGTAGAATATCGGGTTAGTTTTATCTTTGAGCAACGATAGTTTCTCCTCAAACAGTTCGGTGGCCGCTTCGTAACCATCTTCGTATAGCCATTCCGAAGTTTCACTGCACAGTTTCCTGATCTCTTCGATTTGCTCGGGAGTGCCGCACTCGGAAAATTCCTCCATATCCATTTTCATTTGAGCGTCAACCACGAACGCTTCCAAATTGTTGAGGGCAGTTTCCCTCTCAACTCGCTTCCTGTCGATGGCGTTCAGTTCATTTATTTTGGATTTTGAAGCCTTGAATTGGTCAGCCGTCAGGGGTTGCAGATTCAAGATCTCCTGATCAGTAGTGATGGGTTCCTTGAGCACAACTATCTTAGGTTTAGGTTTCTCAGTCTCAGTCGCGTTTTGTTTCTCAGTGGTTGTCTCATTTGCCTTGGCTGTGTCATTGGCCTTTTCGGCTTCCTGTGGTTTCTCTTCTAACTTTTCTTCGGGCTTATCTGGCGTCTCGGAATCTGAGCTAAATAGTTTGCTAATAGTGCTGCCTATTTTAGAAAAAGTACTATCCATGTCGTCACCTTCAGTGACGGCTTTCTCTGCTACGAATTCCACGTTGACCAGATTGAGTATGCCAGAGTCGTCCATGACGAAATGTGCCTTGATTCCTTTGTGTTCGATATTTTCTCCAGTATGCTTAGCTAAGGCTGCACCTACTCCAGTGAGGACCACTTGGGTGAGGTTAGCGGAGCCGATGTACACGAGCTCATTGGTAGGAATGTGGTCTAACTCCGCGTAATTCACGTTGAAGGAGAAATCGTCTGTGTGTTTGTTGAAAGTGATTACCTTCTTTTGCGGGTAGGGGTTCATGGGGCCGAAGAGCGTTCTCTTGATCTGTAACAAAAACAAAAATTCATTAAGTCACATGTCAATTTAAACTCAATAAGCTTTAAAGACTTCATGTAGAATCATAATAATTATGATAATTATATTAATTTTTAGTTATATAATACAATTTAAAATCTCATCTATACAAATACCGTTTCCTGAAAAGAAACGAATTTGAAATTAGTTGTTTGACTATAGTGGTTAAAACATAATTCTCCTTCTGGTGCAGTCGGGTAAAAAGTAACATCAGCATATCAAGCTAAACACTGTTGCATGTGGCATGTTATGTAGAGACATTGAGTGCTGATTGTGACAGATGTTACTTACCAGCTTGTCAGCGCCGTCGACGTTTCTGGTGAAGGTGACCTGGATGGGCAGCAGTACCGCATCGCGCACGTTCAATGGCGCTACCTTGTAGCCTGTGGCCTGGGACGCCGCCCTGGAAATAAAGAATAAAAGGACTTACAAACAACGAAAAATATTGTGGTAATCTTATTAGATAGCCTGTATCAGCCTAGTGCGCAGCACTAGACGCGCGCCCGCGGCTATACAGGGTGGAAACGTTAAGTGATCTCACTCGATTATTTCTAAACTATACAAGATATCGAAAATCTGATAACTGATTCTGAAAGTGCTTCACAAGCTCTTTCAAACGGTACCAATAATAGGTTACAGAATAAACTGGATCTATTCGAAAATTCAATGATTCCAGCTTCCATACATTTAGTAAAACCACATAATATTAAAAACTATACAAGATATTCAAAAACTGGTTACTGACCCTGAAAGTGCTTCACGAGCTCTATCCAACGATACCAATAATAGGTTACAAAATAAACTGGATCTATTCGAAAATTCAATGTTTCCAGTTTCCGTCTGCGTTAATAGACCGCGCCGGTCATGTCCTACGGCAGCGAACAGCGCCTGGTGCACGGCGGGCGCGCGCTGCGCCGCCGGCCAGCACTAGCCGCGCGCGCCTATAGAACTCTTTGAACTCTATACGAGTCACCTGAGAGACGTGCTCCTGCAGTGTAGACTAAAGTCATCTAATGATGATCGTACCTGTACACAGCGCCCATAGTAGCCGCCTCGCCCGCGTTAATAGAGCGCGGCCAGCACTAGGCGCGTACGCGCAGCTATAGAAAAACTCTGTGAACATGAGAGACGCGCTCTTGCAACAGAGCGAAATGACTTGATAATAAACATACCTCAAGGTCAGCTGGTAGAGAATGACTTATGGCATTAAGCTCGCCTTTTTGTACTGAACATTGTTGTGTGTGCAATAAAGTCTTTAAATAAAAATAAATACCTGTACACAGCGCCCATAGTAGCCGCCTCGTCCGCATTAATAGACCGCGCCGGTTCATGTCCTACAGCCGCGAACAGCGCCTGGTGCACCGCGGGAGAACGCGCGGCGCCGCCGGCCAGCACTAGCCGCGCACCCGGCTGTAGAACTCTTTGTACTCTATACGAGTCACCTGAGAGACTTGCTCCTGCAGTGTAGACTAAAGTCACCTAATGATGATCGTACCTGTACACGGCGCCCATAGTAGCGGCCTCATCCGCATTAATAGACCGCGCCGGTTCATGTCCTACGGCCGCGAACAGCGCCTGGTGCGCATCACTAGACGCGCGCCCGCGGCTATAACACTTTGAACTCTATGCGGGTCACCTAAGAGACGTCCTCCTGCAGATGATCGTACCTGTACACAGCGCCCATGGTAGCAGCCTCGTCCGCATTTATAGACCGCGCCGGTTCATGTCCTACGGCAGCGAACAGCGCCTGGTGCACGGCGGGCACTAGTTGAACCACGCCGGACACTCGCGGTTATAGAGGTCGTTGAACTCTATACAAGTCACCTAAGAGACATACTTTGGCAGTGGAGACAATACGACCCAATAATGAACATACCTATACACAGCGCCCATGGTAGCGGCCTCGTCCGCATTAATAGACCGCGCCGGTTCGTGTCCTACGGCAGCGAACAGCGCCTGGTGCACGGCGGACGCGCGCGCGGCGCCGCCGGCCAGCACTAGTAACTCATACTAATGTTCGTGAATACGAGCGTATGTGACCTAATGATAATTGTACCTGTACACAGCGCCCATAGTAGCCGCCTAGTCTGCTTCAATACCACGCCGGACACTCGCGGCTATAGTGGTCATTGAACCCTATACGAGTCATTTTAGAGACTTGTTATTGTGCTAAATGACCTAATAAGCGTGCTGGTCCTACCTGTACACGGCGCCCATAGTAGCCGCCTCGTCCGCGTTAATAGACCGCGCCGGTTCGTGTCTTACGGCCGCAAACAGCGCCTGGTGCACGGCGGACGCGCGCGCGGCGCCGCCGGCCAGCACTAGTAACCTCATACTAATGTTCGTGAATACAAGCGTAAGTGACCTAATGATGATCGTACCTGTACACAGCACCCATAGTAGCCGCCTAGTCTGCTTCAATACCACGCCGGACACTCGCGGTTATAGAGGTCGTTGAACTCTATACAAGTCGTTTTAGAGACTTGCTTATTGCGCTAAATGACCTAATAAGCGTGCTGGTCATACCTGTACACGGCTCCCATGGTAGCGGCCTCGTCCGCATTTATAGACCGCGCCGGTTCATGTCCTACGGCCGCGAACAGCACCTGGTGCACGGCGGGTGCGCGCGCGGCGCCGCCGGCCAGCACTAGTCGCGCGCCGGCGCCGGCGCCGCCGGCCGCGCTGACCGCACGTTGCACCACGCCAGACACGCGCGGTTATAGAGGTCGTTGAACTCTATACGAGTCATTTTAGAGACTTGCTCCTGCAGAATAGACACAGCGCCCATAGTAGCCGCCTCGTCCGCGTTAATAGAGCGCCGCCGGCCAGCAGTAGACGCAGCTATAGAAAAAACTCTTTGAACATGAGAGACGCGCTCTTGCAACAGAGCGAAATGACTTGATAATAAACATACCTGTACACAGCGCCCATAGTAGCAGCCTCATCCGCATTAATAGACCGCGCCGGTTCATGTCCTACGGCAGCGAACAGCGCCTGGTACGCATCACTAGACGCGCGCCCGCGGCTATAACACTTTGAACTCTATGCGGGTCACCTAAGAGACGTCCTCCTGCAGATGATCGTACCTGTACACGGCTCCCATGGTAGCAGCCTCATCCGCATTAATAGACCGCGCCGGTTCGTGTCCCACAGCCGCGAACAGCGCCTGGTGCACGACGGGCGCGCGCGCGGCGCCGCCGGCCAGCACTAGTCGCGCGCCCGGCTGTAGAACTCTTTGTACTCTATACGAGTCACCTGAGAGACTTGCTCCTGCAGTGTAGACTAGTCACCTAATGATGATCGTATCTGTACACAGAGTGACGTAATGATGACCGTACCTGTACACAGCGCCCATAGTAGCAGCCTCATCTGCATTAATAGACCGCGCCGGTTCATGTCCTACGGCAGCGAACAGCGCCTGGTGCACGGCGGGCGCGCGCGCGGCGCCGCACACACGCGGTCATTGAACTCTATACAAGTCACCTAAGAGACATGCTTTGGCAGTGGAGACAATACGACTCAATAATTAACATACCTGTACACGGCTCCCATAGTAGCGGCTTCATCCGCATTAATAGACCGCGCCGGTTCATGTCCTACGGCCGCGAACAGCGCCTGGTGAACCGCCGGAGCACGCGCGGCGCCGCCGGCCAGCACTAGCCGCGCGCCGGCGCCGGCGCCGCCCGCCGCGCTGACCGCGCGTTGGACCACGCCGGACACGCGCGGCCATAGGTCGGCGCAGAGCTCTTCGAATTCTACTCGAGTCACCTGGAGAAAGATAAATAAATCTATATATATAAAAATGAAACCCGTTTCGCGTTGTCACGGCATCACGTGTGAACGGCTGAACCGATTTCGATAATTCTTTTTTTTAAATGTTTGTGGAAGTCCAAGGATGGTTCTTACGGAAAAAAATATTAAGAAAATCTCTACGCTAAGGCGGTACGAAGTTCGCCGGGTCAGCTAGTAATAAATAAATATCCTTGGACATTTTACACTGCGCTTCTAGTCCCAAACTAAGCAAAGCTTGTACTATGGGTACTAGACAACGGATATAAACATACTTAAATACTTTTTTTTTTGTAAATACATACATATTATACATAGAAAACACCCAGTCCAATACAAACAAATATTTTCATGCACACAAATGTTTGTATTATGCGGGAATCGAACCCGCAACCTCCGGAATAGTAGTCCGTTTCGAACCACTACACCAAACGGCCGATAATGACAAAGATGAATGAGTTACTTCTACTTGCCATAATGTTTGCCTAGATTCGCTGGTTAGACCCAAAAGATAAGGAGACTTGTTTATTTCGATGTTGCTAGCTGCCAAATCATGGTCCAAAGTGAATTTAGACTTTTCATTTTTATAGGGCATGCACTGTCAAGTCGAAAACGTGTCAAACGGCGGTAGGTATATTAAATTTTAGAAGCGGTTAGAGGTAAGATAGCCAGTTCCTCCGTGGTTGAGGATTCCAAGTGAAGCACGCTTCCACCTTCGGCCTGATCATCACTTACCATCAGGTGAGATACAGGCCAAGAACTTCTTCGTTGTGGATATAAAAAAAAAACTTAGTCTCTTTGCCCCACCAGCGCTTCGTATCAACATTTGGCAAGTGCTAAGAAGTAGCACCGCAACAAACTCAAGTCACCACTGTCTGCCGGTTGAAATAAATAGAAATAACGGTAATGGGTACATTAAGACCTTCTTACTTTTTAGATTACAACTATTAACCACCACAAAAAATAGAAGATTTGCTTGATAGAACTTACCAACTGCTTAAAGTCCTTATCATCCAGCAAGCTCTCAATCTGCGCGTAGTGCTCTGTGTTGGCTGATAGCACGACCTTCAGACGCTCTGCCTCTCGCAGCAGCTTCTCCATGGCGCGGGGCGAAGCCCTAACGTCGCCGCCGCCGTTGGCCTCCCACGCCTTGATCAGGTGCTCGCGGAGGCGTAGTGTCATCTCGTGACCACCTAGGGTCCTAAGGAAGGAATAAAAACATTTTTAGCACCCATAACACAAGCATTAAGTTGCTTATTTTGGGGCTAGCTGGCGCTGTGTGAAATTGTCCAAAGATTTATTATTTATTATTATTAACCTTCAAATATAACAATATGTCACATAAAAGCTGCACCACACCAAGGGTGTTACCCAAAGAACATTGTTATAGCTACATCACATTATAAAAAGCTGCATATGCAAATAACCCAAGAAAGTTTCCTAAAACATATTGTAATAGCTAATCTATCTAACTAAGTAACTAAGTTCACAGAATAATTCTAAAACAACCAAGTCTTCTAGGCACTGTTAAGAAAAATTTTTGATATTATCTTTATTAAATGTAAGAAATGTGTTTTCAAAATAAAAGAAAACAAAAAATAAATATAAAGGTCTACCTGTCAAAGCCAACTCCCAAGACTTGCAACTGCGGGACAGTCTCAACATAGCCTCTCTCCTTTATCTTGACAGTCTTGTACTCCACCAGGGCAGCCTTGGTGGACGCAGCACCCATGTCGAAGAACAGGGCATGCCACGCTGTGTCATTGATTTCCTAAAAAAAATTATAGCAAGATATTCATTAAGTTGGAATTCTTTGAAATACCATGATTAAATCACTGGTCAACTATTTGTCACTGCTAAATAGTTTGGTCTTGCATCAGCAAGTAGCAGTTAGGGGACAACATTGGTTAAGATTGCCTTACCCAAGTTCTAACTAAATCCAATCACTGTACAATAAAATTTTAAGCATCAACATCAATGTTATCTTCAAATAAGTATAGTATGTCTAATATTATTACCCTTCAATAAGAATAACTGTTAGTATATTTTATAAAACACTGCATTCTATAAAGTATAGTATGGGCCACACTTTCACCTACCCATTACTGGTCATGTTATTTCGTTCTATTGCAAAGAATCGCCATTTGATGTAAGAGAGAGAAAAAACAGAAATGGGTAGCTGGAACTGTGGCCCATTGTACAATAATTACAAAAGCACAAAGGCAGTATGTTTATAAACAAAACAAACCTTTCTTCTAAATATGCCATAGTTGATGGCAATTGCTGTGTAATCGTTGATCAGCTGCAGAACATTGAGTCCTGCGAGAGCAGCAGCCTCTTTGAGTGCTCGGCGCTCCGCTTGGTTGAAGAAACCGGGGACCGTGATCACGCACTCAGTTATTGGTTGACCTGTGGAGAATAATCAAATTATCACTTGACACGCTTAAGTTACCTTGAAAATGTTAGTCACACTAGTATGTGTGAAAAATATGCACTCAATTTTGAGACATGTCTAAGTGAATATAAGTTTTTGAGGAAAAATTCTTTGATATTTCTGATCTTTTTCTTCTGTACCAAAAATCTGGTTCTTGTTTTACATAAAGCATAACTTTTTTTTGTGATACATTGTATATTTATCTCAATAAACCAGTTTCAGGTGATCTAATAAGAATCAATCAACTCAACTGAAATTTAATATATAGAAAACAATTTATGTTTCTGAATAATAGCTAGTAAGACATAAAACTTTGATAAATGAAAATAGGTAATCAGTAGATACAGTAGATGAAAATTTTGGGAAAGGGAATTGTTATCATTCATTATTCATAAACTTTTACTAGTATTATGTACTTAAGTGTATGATATAACCAATAAATAAAATTAATTTCACTAACAGCTGGCTGAAAGACACATAATAAGACAAAACACTCACCATGGCTGATCTCTGCAAAGTCCTTGGCTTTGGCCAGCAACTGAGCCACTAGCTCTTCAGGGCTGAACCGAGTCTTTGCATCGTGAACAAACTCGGGGGTGCCTCTGGGTGAAGCTACAATCTCATAGTATGGATACTTTTCCCTGAAAAATTTAACATGAGTTGGAATGCATGTAGCTGAAATTTACTTGTGTGAAGTTACAAGTAGTGATTCACAAAATGAACATATTGCACAACTATGTAATGCATGCAATGTTCAATTAGCAGTAAGTACATGAAATTGAATTAAGTTTTAGGTAACAGCAATAAAATTTCATCATCTTTAGAGGTACTTTCAATTTACAGCTGTGATAGTATGTGTACTTTTGCATTCAAGAGTTTTAAATAGAAACAGCAGATAAATGACGCATTACTAACCTATATGCTTGAACAATAGGGTGATCGTATGGTTTTCCAAGCAAGTCCAGAAGATACTTGTAAGAATTCTTGGGGAACCTGACGCCAACTGTGACTGCATCTTCCCCGAAGGTCCTCACGCCATCCCTGAACGCGACAACAGCTGGAGTCTTCCTCTTCGACTCCTTATTCAGTACAATCTCCATCGGGACACCAGGAGACACGATGCCGATTTTCATCCATTCTGACCCCAAATCGATTGATATCACTGCAGCCGCATCCACTCGTTGAATTAACAGCAGCGGTAACAAAACCGCACACAACGCCCCGTACATTTTCTGCAAAACAGAAAACCGGGTCCGCATTAAAACTCCAGAAACACTGCAATGATTTGGAAAATAGGTTGTCACATCGATCCTTGTTCTGTGAAAAAGTATGCACTTACAATATTTAGGGCCATCTTATTTCAAGAATTATACATCTAGGCTTATATCCAATCAGTTTATCGACTTTTAATGCAGCGGAATCAAATAAATCTTATTGTATTTTTCGTCAAAGTGGGCCAGCTACTTTAGTCCACGTCAAGTTTAACGTGTTTTCTTCTTTGTGGTCAATGACGTTGTTGCCATTTCACTCCGTCATCGGCAGACCAATCATTGATTTTTCAGAACTGCCAAAACTTTTTTTCTGAAATTAGAAAGTTAAAAATGTAATATTTTGAAGATTTATTTATTTAAATAATTTAAACTATTTAAAATACATTTGGAAAATATACATAATCTCCTTCATTCTTAAAATTCTTTATTAAAATTCCTTTTCCTATTTTGTTTGACAGTTGTTGAGCATTGGACATCTCTGTTTATCTGCTTTAGAACGAAAGGGATAAAAAGTATATTTGCGGACGCGATGTCTTCGGGCAATGTCAAACTATAATCGGAAGGTTATTGGTTATCTATAATCAGTTGACCACCAAAAGAAAGATATTTGTAATAGTGTGCAAATCACAAATTTTTCTTTTGTTGTTTTGTATATTAATTATAGTAACATTTTCATTAAGCCAGAGCCCCGATTACGGTAACTTTTAACGTCTACAATCCAGACGCGTTTCTGATTCTGCAATACGATTGGTCAAAACAGCTGACGTACGCTGTTGGACGACCAATCGTATCGCAGAATCGAGAAGCGTGTCTGGATTGTTGACGTTAAAAATTACCATAATCGGGGCTCTGGTCTCTAGCGCTTGTTTTGCCCTACACAATCAACAAAAACATGTCAACATTTAAAATTTATGTGAACAATTTGTTGTGTTGAGTGTTGACATGTTGTTGTTGATTGTGTAGGTCAAAACCTTACCTTTCCGTGGACAAAACATGCGCTGGAGACATCACAGAGCACGAAATAGTGGAGACATTTTGCTTCGTCTAAAACTCTAAAGACGTATGTAATAGCCAGCAAAAAATATTAAATTCTAGCAGGATTCATATCCTTTTCATAGCCATTAGCTTGACTGATACAATGAATTAGCTAAAGCCTGGTCCGTGAGCACGTAGAATTTTGTCCAATGACCCCAAGCTACCCATCCTTATCGCTCGCGTGTAATTATATTGCTGTCGCGACTGTTCGACGGGCGCCCGCAGTGAGCGTGCTCACGGACCAGAGCCCCGATTACGGTAACTTTTAACGTCTACAATCCAGACGCGTTTCTGATTCTGAAATACGATTGGTCAAAACAGCTGACGTACGCTGTTGAACGACCAATCGTATCGCAGAATCGAGAAGCGTGTCTAGATTGGAGACGTTCGTAATCGGGGCTCTGAGCCCCGATTACGGTATTTTTTAACGTCAACAATCCAGACACGCTTCTCGATTCTGCGATACGATTGGTAGTTCAACAGCGTACGTCAGCTGTTTTGACCAATCGTATCGCAGAATCAGAAACGCGTCTGGATTGTAGACGTTATAAAAGTTACCGTAATCGGGGCTCTGAGCCCCGATTACGAACGTCTCCAATCCAGACACGCTTCTCGATTCTGCGATACGATTGGTCGTTCTCAACAGCGTACGTCAGCTGTTTTGACCAATCGTATCGCAGAATCGATGGAGCGCGTCTGGATTGGAAACGTTAAAAGTTACCGTAATCGGGGCTCTGGCTTTAGACTTGAATAGGAAATTAGGATAACAGGAGCTAATATACCTAATTAGCAAATTAGTGTACAACTGAAATAGATTAGGATTTTTTTTATGACAGCCTCTGTCGACCTATAGACAATTATAGAGCGGTGTCCGGTTATCAAATCATATGTTTATTTATGTAGGTTGCTCTATGGTCTATGGTTTGATTGGGTGTTGAGGAGATGTTTGTTGCGTGTTGATTTTGATTGCAAGTACGGAGGTCGCGGAATGCTGTTTGTTGTTATTAATTTCTAAGTGATTACCAATACAAGCTACACAAGAAAGGTAAGTCCTCATTAAATGCCGCTTTGTCAAAGATACTTGATAAGTTTATATTAATGCAAAGTAGCTCACTTTGTGCATGCAATTAAACTTGATTTTTATTACGCATTTTGGATTTTGCTCCCTGAAATAAATTGTCGGGATATCACGTTGCGCCCGTTGTGTACCTCTGGATCAGTGCGTGAAGTATCGTTTACATGCGGTTCTAAAAATGTGACAAGACGCGCATGAGGAACATCGAGACGCATTCGGTGGCGCTCCTTCTAAATATGGAACGGGTGTTAGTCAACGATTGTGGCGTCCTCGGCGTCGTATCGGGAGCCGTGCCGTATCCCTGTAGTTATGTAATGGCCCTTCGTGTGGGATATTAGGTCGGCACGTGCATATGTGGTTGCACGCTGCTTCCACGTCGTAGCACGACGCGCAGCGCGCGACGCAATCGCGCACGCGGTCCGTCGCGCTGGCGCTGCCTGGACGGAACCTCAGTTTCCTAGCAACACGTTGTTGACGCCACTGCTGACCCAATGAATACAAAAACATAATCATGGTAAATAGTTGTTACATCACCCCTAGTACACTTGCGGCGGATTTTTTTCTGCTTACGTTGCTAGGGAGTCAAACCCATAACATATCCAGTTATCTAATTAGCAACGCATTTGTTTTGAATTAGAATTTAAAATAACCAAGTGGAATCTAGTAAGATCTTTACAGTATAGAGTTAAGTTCATAAAGTGATGACCTTGATTTGTTTATAAAACATCAACCATTAGAGGTATGTACAGTATTTGAAACTCTTCCCGAAACAAAAGCTAAAATAGACTTGTAAAAATAGTTCTTAGACCTTTATGTGACCTAGTTTCAGTTCACACTTCCTATAAGATTTCTAAATTTAATTACCACCCAGGGACAATGCTCCACTTTGAGCTTAATTAGTATTTATTTCTGGAATGTAGTTTTATTCTGGTTCTGATCTCGTGCATCTGAGCATTTAACAGCTATTTTTACCTTTTTAAAGCAAATTTTGCTACTAGTATGGTATGCTTGTATCATATCTTTGATATGAAGGCCATATTGTAATCTTCACTTAAATGATAAGTTGTGGTAGTAGATTTAAATTTCATTTATTTATTTATTTTGATTATTATTTTTATTTATTTGTATTTTAACAGTGCATCAGTTGTTGGCAAACCAATAAAATAAAATATAAATTAAGGTAATGTTTTACTCTTAAAAGTCATATTTTAATGGTTAATGTCAATATACACTACCTCATGCTACATATTAAAAAGTACAATTTATTTGTAACTTAATAAATTATAATTATTAGATCACAATAATGTGTCTATTTAAATAACTAATAAACGAAATATGGCATAGGATTGATTATGTTGTTTTCCTCCTTAATGTTTTCAATCCTGAATTTACGTATTTATTTATCCTCTAAAATGTGTGCTATTGGACTTCCAACTAACACTATAGGTTTTAAAAAGTTAAGAATTGGTATACAGCTTTATAACAATATAATAGTAAAAAGGAATAAAATTAAGTTTTATCTTTAGATCACTTAATTAAATACTAATAAACAATTGCTAATCGTTACCCTTGGCTTCACACATGCAGGCTAAGTAATCATAACACAAACATGTTCAATGCTGACTAATGTGTATATCATTAGCTTCCTGACACAACCTTAGATGTTCATTCAATAATACTGATATAGAAACATAAAATATGCAATTTAATGAATGTCAGTACTCAGTAATGAGGTTAGTACTATAATTATAATGCTGAGATAAACATAGTAGCTGCTTTTCTTTAGAGTTTTAACTTCAATTTGTATTTCATAATTAATTACATAAGCAATAATATCTATCTACCTTATCATAAATACCAGTTATTATGTTAAAGGTGTAATGTCATTATAACAATTTAATGACCATTACATGTATTATGTAAAAACCTTTTTTTATCTCAAGTCAATCTTTTGATAAACGTGTTCCACTTCAATATCACGAACTCGTGTTTCTGTCGTAGTATGTGGCAAGTAGGTATGTGTTTAGCGAAAAATGCACAGACTTTCGCGTTTTTCTGACGTTATATCCGAGATAACGTTGGCGTCAGTCGATCGCGTTACGTTTAATATTTTCAGCGCAAAGCGACGTATCTACGCGTTAGGTACCTGTTTACACTTACAAATTTTTTGCACGCAATAAGAAGATAACACGAAACCGTAACCCCGTGGTTTCTGAAGTTATGTAAAATGATAAAACATCCATTATCTTATTAGGCTTTTTCTTTAATTAAATGAAGGAATTGATCAAATCAAGTTTGCCTATCCTGATAACAGGATAACTAGGCACTGTTTATCTTTCTTTTTTTGCACGAATTAAGGTATTGCTAAGGAAGGAAAGTCCGTGGAGACGAACATCATTATTTAAGCTCTTTTCTCAGGAGAAAGAGTTGTAAAAGCATACCTACTATACAACTTATTGGAAACAATGGAGTTTTCAGTTGAAGAAAAATACTCATGGAAGATTTCCGTGAAATGATACCGCGTAAAGTCTGAACGGGTTGCTCGTATAAAATTTCAGAGATCTAGGTCATCGTGTCACACTTGACTATACTGTGTAAATTTTACTGGCGACTGTTCGCCCCGCATTTTCAGACATTTTTAAACATACAGTGTGAACATGGTTTTAGAACCATTTAGCGGTTCGCTACTATGCCAAGGTCGCGCAACATTAGGTGATTGTACCACTAGGTAACACGATAAAACGTCGACGCTGATTTTACATGCGTATTTTGGTTAATCTAACCTCTAATTCGTACGGCGTCGCATCGTCTTCATCAGACTACCGATTCGAGATTCAACGAACTCTACTTCGATCATCGTCAACCGCTGAACTATTGAGGGGAACCCACTTTTCTAACACAAGCATGTTTAGCTTACGGACTACAAGAACATGATTGAAATGATTACATGAAATCCCTACCTATGCTAGTACTACAACATTAGTTCGTAACTCGCAACATAAATCCATTTGCGATGATGACATAAGGCTTCCCAAACGGATCCAAAACGTCTGATGCCGGCTGTTTGTAAATAAAACCACTAGAAACAAATACTTAATGGCTTAAGCTAATGAGATTAGCACATAAGATAGGGTATAAAAATTCAGTCATCCAATTATAGGCTTTTCCAGT